TAGCCACAGGGGTGCGTTAAATTTAAAATCGCCTCACGGTATTTTTAAAGTAGAGATTTCAAGCTTTCATTTGAAAAAAAATTCATCATTTTACGATGATTTTTCGCGGAGTTACCGTTAACCAAAGTTAACCAATTTTTGCTCAAAATTTTTCTATGCCATAATTTTTTTGAGCAGTGTATATACCTTTCGTTTGATAGTCATTGCTCCATTGGGTGCTTGCATCATACCAGCAGGTGGTGGAGGTATCGGGGCCATCGGCGGTAACTTATGATCTCCCAGAGAAAGAGATGCCATCGGAGGCGGCGGCGGACACGGTGGCGGGGGTGGAGGCGGTGGCGCAGGAGCCGCTGGAAGCGCTTCATGCGTCGGCGACGGTGTCGAGGCAAACGTCTCGGATGTAACGTTATCCGAATTACTCAGAGGACTCGTCGCCGTGCCGTTTCGTAGACTAACGGCTAAAAGATCGACAGGCATTCACAATGGGATTTTGCTTTATATTAGGGCTGGTGATCTGCTTTATATATATTTGCGTACATATATATTTTAAGCATATATATTAATTCTTTTTATTTACCATATTTGTAAATTTTCTGAATAAATTCATTGCACGAATGTATTTTTCGAAACTTCGAAAGAATTCGAAGATTTTAATGCTGAAGCTTCGAAATTCGAAGACTTCGACATTCGAATTTCGAAGCTTCAGCATTAAAATCTTCGAATTCTTTCGAAGCTTCGAAGTTTAAAATTAACTTTAAAACTTCGAAGTTTCGAAAAATTCGTGCAATGAATTTATTCAGAAAATTTACAAATATGATAAATAAAAAAAACTAATATATATGCTCAAAATATATATACGTAATTATTTCTCAAAAAAAATTTGAAAGTATTATAACCTAAAATATTACAAATTAATAATTAAACTTGATACATATGTAAATAAGGAAAGATAACGATCAGTAGAACAATCAGATTAAGAAAATTTAAAAAAATTAAAATAAATTTATTCTTAAATAAATAAACAAAAATATAATAAATTAATATAATTGGTTTTGGTGTCATTAAATCTTCCTCAACATAAAACAATTTTGAAAACAGAAAATTTAAAATCGTAAAATTAATAAAAATTATTAATTTTTTAATTAAATTTGCACGAATGTATTTTTCGAAACTTTAAGTTAATTTTAAACTTCAAAGCTTTGAAGCTTCGAAGGCATCTTAAATTTCGAAGCTTCGAATATTCGAAGTAAGTAAAAAGTAACAGCCTAACTTTATATTGCCTATTAATCATACAAATTCTTCGATCTGGAAAGATAAAATACCTGACGAGCCTTTTGTAAGTGTTCCCGTGAGAGTTTCCAACTCAATGATCTTGTTTTCTAGGACGCTCTGCCTTCTGGCAGAATCTTGTCTCTGTCTCTTCAAGGCCGCAAGTTCTTCCTCCACTGTTCTACGTGCTTCCAAGGCATCGGCATATTCCACTTTAATCGCGCCTAATTCCGTCTCCAGGTCCGCCAATTTCGCCAATGATTCTCTTTCTAATTCCGCCATGCGATCATGTGCCTGTATTAAATCAATCAATCGCAATCGATTGTGACATTTGACAAAATATAAAATTATAAGGATATATTTTAACAATATCGCAATATAATTAAAATAATATATATTAGTTAATATATATTAGTTAATTAGTATACAAATAAAAAATAAAAGTTGAACGAATTCTATAATCTACTATTTTTTTTATACAAATTTGTTCGTGTATATTGGATCTTATGGATTATGGGTTTGTTTCGACTCATTTTTCTCTTCTTACTGGCTTTATATAACCTTTATACATAAAAGAAAAGCGGAAAGCTTTTATCGCTTACATGACCAAGTTCGTCTTCTAATTCTGCTACTTTTTCTAATGCTGCGGTCTTTGTTTCACTGTCCTCCATCAAGGCAGCTACATCAAATACGTTATCTAGGTAAGCTGAGATTTGAACCTATAAAAAAGATAAGGATAAAATTAATAACACTCAAGAAAATTATAATTGTTAACAATTAACAATTGAAAATATTAGCATTTATTTATACATATTACACGCATATCGGTTGCTACTTATTTGTGATAAAGTTCGTATATATCTATTTTATTTTTATGGCTTCAGTTAGTTCTGAGTTACATCGTTAATTTTTCATATGTAATTAACTCATAATTAATCAGATCTCTACAATGGATTATAGATTATGATTAAAAATTAGCTTTAGTATTATAAAATCGCAAAATAAAAACTATATTATTACATAATTAATTTTAAAACGATTGTTATTGAATGTATGATATAATAAAGGGTGTTTTAACTGCGAAAAAAAACAACAGATATCTCGATTCACAGTGACATTACCAAATGACATTATGAAACCAAAGATAGTTACAACAGATTTTTATCGCTTTATTTTTCCTGCTCCTCCACAAAATTGCTCGAAAGAGACAAACAACACAAGAATGATTTATTTGTTACAATTAGTGCATTATTTATTCAGTGCAAAATTTTATAATACGTATTCAGTTAACTGACCTGCAAATCTTCGCTCTCTGTGTGTCTAAGCTTCTCGAGATATTCGTCTAATCCAAGCTTCGTAAATTCATACTGCAGATGTACTCTGAAGTTCATGTCTTCGACCGAATGCACAACGATATTGACAAACTGCATACAAGCGACCATAAATTCTATATGGAAGCTGTCATACTGGGTGAAATATGCCATAAGCGTCGTAAATCTTCGTCTCTCGGAGCACACCTCTTTGAAGTTATCAAACGCTGACAAAATGATCTCGTGGCCACCCTTTACTAGACAGATGGCAGCGAGGAGCTCTAATACCAGAGCTTTCGTCCTAAAAAAAGAGCGGTACATTTGTTGTAATAACGATAAGCTACACTATGGGAGGAATTATACGAAATAACGTGATATACAAAGAGATAATACTAGTTTACAAAAAAATTTTTTTTTTCAATTACTTTGGGTCGCACTACGTGTCTCTTATAGATTTTTAGATGCTGAAAACGATGCCGTAAGCGAAAAAAGATAATTGAGGTTTAATACTTGAAAAATGGCTTTTTTTGCGATACTTGACATTTATTTTATAAAGGAGGTTAACGTTATCTTGAAATTTCGATCGGGATTCATGAATGTATTGTTCATCCCCTATAAAATGCATTTTTTTTTCAATATCTTTTTAGCCATGTTATAAATAATTAAAGATAGAAGCTATTTCGAATATGGATGGCTAAAAAAGCCATTTTTTAAGTATTAAACCTTAATTATATATATCATGAAAATCTGACGTGCTAGAATTTTTTCGCTTGCGGCATCGTTTTCAGCATCCAAAAATCTATAAGAGACACATAGTCCGGTCCAAAGTAATTTTTTGCTATAAACTAGTGTTACTTTTAAACAGTATTAATCCTTTCAGGATGTGATTATGCAAGAATTTGTAATAATATGAATATAAAATGAATGACTAAGGTATAAATGCATTACGGATGTAATGCGTTTCACACGTTTACAATATCATTTCTCAGAAATACGAGAGACAATAATAGATAATAGACAATACATGACTCACCTCAGACTTTTATGAATTAAGCTCAATGCAATACAGTTGATAGCTTCTCTGTGTTGAATAACCATATTAAATCCGTACTGTGAAAAATCGACATAAATATAAATTTTATTTACGCATATGCAAAAATATATTATTATACATATATTACTATACATATATTATTATATTATAATATATTACGAGTACTATACACATATTATTTTATACACGAGTTTTAATTTGATTGGATTTCTTGTGCTTATTTTATTAATTGAACATACATTTTTTTACTTCTTAAGTTCAAAATTCTTTGCAAAGTAAATATTTGCTTTATTTAAACTCTTTATTTAAACAATATATTAATATATTTTGACGCGTACATTTGTATTCGCATAAAGACATATGTATATGTACTGTACATATACATATGTCTTTATGCGAATACAAATGTACGCGTCAAAATATATTAATATATTGTTTAAATAAAGGGTAAGCATATATTTACTTTGCAAAGAATTTTGAACTTAAGAAGTAAAAAAATGTATGTTCAATTAATAAAATAAGCACAAGAAATCCAATCAAGTTAAAACTCGTGTATAAAATAATATATGTTTATATAATTTTAATAAAAATATACAAATTTCCTATAGCAAAAATTATAATGATTTACGCTTAAATATAATTTTTAGAGCTTTTTTCTAATTATAATGTTGTAAACACATTAAAATGCTAATTAAAAATAAGAGTTGCAATTTTTCTCGATTTTCAAATATTAGAATTAAATCTTAAACAGTTGCTTACATAAGAATTAATATTCACCTTATTATTCATGATAGCACGCATGCACAGTATGCAAACATGAATGTCATCCTTTGCTTCACCCATATTTAGGCGTGCCACATGTCGAGATCTCCTTTTGACTCCGGGACTGTCTTTAAGCTCTTGAAGAGGCGGCCTCAAGCATCCGTTGTTTAACGGTGAGATATCACCAGTGCCCGCTGCGTTAATATTATTATCGATTATTCTTTTATTCTACGATAAACCAATTTGTCGTAAGAACATTAATATATCTCTAATTATCTCATAAATATAATATTTATTCCAATATATATTTAATCCAATATATTCTTTACATAGATGTTTCAAATTAACTGTAATTTTTATTCAAAAGGGAAATTTTTTTTATTCAAAAATGTTTTTTTACGAATAATGTAATTTTTAATAATATTATTGCAGCAATTTGCGACTAACAAGGGAACCTCGCGAAGTGAAAAATTCTGATTTTAATGAAACTTGGTACACTTTGAGGTCACATAAATAGATGAATTTATAAGTTATCAGTTAGTGCTAAAAAAATGGTTTAAAGGCATGAAACCACCCCTTATATGTAAATTTATTTTCCGTTTTTTTTTTCGTTATATCTCGAAAATTATTCAAGATATCAAAAAATGCTTTATAGAACAATTTTACAGTAAAATTACCTCTAGTCAGTTACGTTAATAGAATTTTTTTTTAAATAATTATTTTCAAAAATTTTCAAAAATATTTTAAAATATAATTATTCTAAAAAATATTATTAAACATAAATGAATAGAGATAATTTTACTGTAAAACTTTTGTATACAACATCTTTTGATATCTTGAATAGTTTTCGAGATATAACGAAAAAAAATTAAATATTGTTTAACTTTAAAGGGTGATTTCAAAATTGGTTTTCCATCACAACTGTAAGCGAAAAACAAGTAAATATTTGTGTTCTTCTGGATAAATGTGAAATTTGACTTGTCAATATACCTAAACCCTCTTTAAATTATATTGCTACTTTACAATTTATCGTAAATAGTAATCTTATACTTGTTATCAATCTAACAGATTAGTGCATATTTAATTTATTATTTAGTGAGCTAAGATAGATTCTGATTTTCTTTTTTTGATTTTCAACTTCTACTTACCGGTTTGCAATTTTTCTTCGGAATTCGTGTGGGATTCCAAGAGCCGTTGCTCATGTCGCATCATCAATAGCCTGAAGCTGAGATAGTCTATCAAAGCATCCAGGCCTTGATTTTCCTCGTCCAAGAACTCTCTCACCCATCTATAATAATGTCCAGTTCAGAATACAGGTTTTCGAAAAGCCGATATCGTGAACAAATAAACTTGCGTACACTCACAAGTATTTATGTGGTCAATGACTAACACAACGGACCGACTGTGCAATTATATTATAAAAAATAAAAAGTGGATGTAGTTCCAACTTCTCTCTTCCTCATTTTAGATACTAGGGAATTACAAACACTTTAAAATTTTTTAATTCCAAGATTTCGAATTTACATTCATTTGAAAACATATAAAGAAAAAATATTAATATCGGAATTGTCAAGGATAGTTTACTATAATAAGTATGTACGTTGGTTTTAAAGATTTTTGATAAAATAGTCGAAATGTGTATTAATCCTTTGCTGCATGTAATGTCAAAATATATATAAAACACTTGTATTTTTTCGTGTTTTTGCACATATTTCATAATTGATTTGTGTAACATACTTGGTACCTTTATGTTTCTAAATATTAACAATAAATTATAAAAATATATATCAGTCAAAATTAGCACTTAAAAAAAATTATGCTAGAAAAAGAGATATAATAAACATGTTCTAAAAATTTTTACATTAACATGTCTTTAAGGTTAGCACCCCTAAGTACTCCTAAGAATTTTGACAAAATCTATACATTAGATTGTTCACTATTTGTCCATATTTGTCCAATAATAATAATTTTTTGTCCATTCATGGAAAAAATTAAAACAAAAAAATTTTTTTTAACGTAAGCACCCCTAAGTGCGTTTTTTTTTAAATTATATACGGGATTCGATTGTCCACAATTAGTCCGCATTTGTCCATCAATAATCGTTTTCTGTTTACCTTGCTACAAAAAATTATAAACAAATAAAAAATTAGAGCAATAATTTTTTCCAAGAGTGGACAAACAATTATTATTATTGGACAAATATGGACAAATAGTGGCCAATCTACTGCCAATCTACACAATCTAATGCCATATAGATTTTGTCAAAATTCGCACTTAGGGATGCCAACTTCACGCAGCTATAGCTTTCAAATAAGGTAGATTTCAAATCTGCATCTATTGAATTTGTTATCTTAAAATATGCAAATTTTAAACAGCAGACCCAAAATGACTATAAATTATTTATATTAGCTAAAACTAACTTTATATTTGTGATATATTTACATCCATACAAAATTACTTTTAAAAAAAGTACAAAACGGTACCAATTTTATACGCGCCTATCGTATAAAAACTTGATATAAAAAACCTAGAGCCAATTTACAGTTATCTGTAAATAAAAAATATAATAATTGCATTTGTGTCGTACAAGAACTTGGCGCACCCGGGTTACATTTTTGTTATATTTCTTATATTTTTAAAATAGAATTTTTTATATAATTAATGCAAAAAGATAATTATATATTATAATACAGTAATACATGCATGTACATATGTGTTTTAATAATGCAACCCGGATAAGTTTTTGTATGTCAGACACAAGTATAATAATTATTTTTTATTTACTGACAAATACAAATTGGGGCTAATTTTTTATATTAAATTTTCTATATGTAGAAAGCGCATATTTAGCGCCGTGTCTTTTGTAAGAAAATAATTTTTGTACGAATATTATAACTTTTTTTAGTAACTAATTTCAATTCTGATTAGAAAATAATTATTAAGACTCATAAATTCTTATGATAAGCAAAACAAATATATATGTATAAATAGATTTATCGACAGGAGAATGAGAATGAGAATGAGAAAGAGAGAGAGAGAGAGAGAGAGAGAGAGAGAGAGAGAGAACCTATGCCATAAAATACCGTAATAAGAGAAGTCTTGAATTGGGAAATTGTGAGATTAACCTATTAAAAATATTATTAAGGTGGTTTTATCGCGGAAGTCTCAGTCAGAAGTTAGTTCCTCCATATGACTAATAATTCAATAAAAACAAGCGATTTAATCTTGAAATGTTCTTCATTATAGTCATTATAGTTCTGAGTGATGCTAAGAATACAATTTTTTTTAAAATAACAAAGACTTTTTTAATATTAAATTTGTCGTATTAAATTTTCAAGTTTTTCGGCAGATATTTGAAATAAAAATATCTATAAAATTCTTACGTAAACAATTTTAGTTATGTAAGCCATAATTAAATTTTTTTTATTTGACCGCCATATTGAATCTGCTATTTTAACTTTTTAAATTTCGACTTTAGATTTGCAATTAGCGATTTCAAAAAATCTCCATATACTGAAATTCAGCAAAATATGTTAAAAAATTTGTGCGATAAAGGGTTAAATGCATAATTATTCAAACTGGATAAATTATTTAAAAAAGAAATTAAATAATTACTATATATAGATTCACTTACTCAATGTGATTTGTGCGTAAGGATATCTCCAAATCACGTAATACTTGGGTCGATGTAGATTCACCGACCATTTTCCTTTTCTGGAAGAACATAAAGAAACGATACGTCTGTGTAATCATTAGTATCGGTGTGATAGTGCACCTCTTGCGAATGTGGACACAATACAATTTATTTTAACAAAGAAAGTACAAAAATTGTAGTTTGTATATAAATGATTGTGAATATCAAATAGGAAATGAGTATGTCTTTAATATATTTATTTCTGTTAAAGAAATTAATTATATTAACGTATATATGTGTAAATAAAAAGTAACAAAATATATAGGAATAATACAAACGCATAATACTCGAAATAAATAAATATATATATATAAATATTTTAAAAAATTAAAAATAACATACTCGATGACTTCGTGATGCTGTGGGATCCAGGTAAGTACGTAATTTCGCCAGGTAATGGGACGGTGGATCTTTAGCTTGTACTCTTTCCTGCAAATATAAATATTTCATTGTAACAAACTTATTAATTTCAAATAATTTATTTCTACTATAAAAATAATTTGACCTTTATAAACTCTTCAATGCTAAAGCATTATTTTTGATTAGCCTTTTGTACTTGAGCGACAACTCCGCGATTTATTTTTCTTATTCAAATATGAGAAACTTACGAATTTTACATATTGATTATATTACTTTCGGATAATTTTTACTTGATAATTTTTACAATCTCTCCAACCGAAATTATTTACTCTGTTGGGGGGTTTTATAATATTGAACAAGGAGACCACTACAAAATATAGAACTTATTGAACATCTCTATGATGGTACACTGACTCTTCAAGTACTTTTTGACTGTTCTTACTACAATTTTATATTGCTTATTAATTTATTTGTTTGACATCGACTATGTGACTCTTACTTCTTTATATTAATTTATATTAATTTTTAATCATTTATTGTGCGATACCAAATATGTGACTCACGTTTCTCTTTATTAATTGATTTGCGGTTGAAGAAGACTAAGTTAAGTCGAAACATGTATCGCGTATGTCCATCTTAAATTTGTTTCTGTATTAAAAGATTAATAAACGCTGTCATCTTCGTTATAATTTGCTCGTTAGTTTGGCCTAATTTCTTTAAATTTTTAATTGTTATTACAAGGACGAGTTTGTCTTTTATATTGTTAGTTCATTATTTTTGAAATCACAACAAAACAAGTTATCTTTTCTGTCTGAAAAGTTGAATTATTATTTCCTATAATTTCCATAACAATTAATTATTCCATAATTTGTATTACAATTAAAGCTTACTAATATTTAAATAAAAGTGTATGTAAGCTTCGCAAGGTGCTCGGGCGTTACAATTTATATAAATATAAGAAGACAAAAGTACAAGAATATGTATGCTATATGAGCGAAACGTTTCGACCTTTTCTTCAAGTCATCATCAGCACTAATTAAAACCAAGCAATAATTACAAGAGGTAAAATATTATACCGCAAAGTGTCTTAGAAATAAGTGTTCAAATGGTAGGAATTTAATCCAGAAAGCCGTCACTCGTAAGGAGACGATTGTTGATTTCTGGATTAAATTCCTACTATTCGAATACTTATTTCTAAGACACTTTACGGTATAATATTTTATCCCTTGTAATTATTGCTCGGTTTTAATTAGCGCTGATGATGACCTGAAGAAAAGGTCGAAACATTTTGCTCATATAACATACATATTCTTGTACTTTTGTCTTCTTA